AGATAGACAGACGGCTTAACTGTGTTGTTTCCTGTTCGTTTCTGCTGTGCAATGGCAGACTGATGGAGGAGGTAGTCCCAACCCTGGGGTGTCTGGTAAGGCAGCCTCCCTCCTTCCTTCTTTCCCTCCCTCCCTCCCTCTCTCTCTCTCTCTTACAGTCATGTCTTCCTTCGTGACTGGGGTATTTCTGTTGCTGGATTTGTCCTGCTGCCTCACCTATAGTCTCTGTATTTCTCAGCATGTTTTGTCGTGGTAAAAAAAGAAATGCATACACAATAGTCTGGGAATGCACATGATAATATCAATGTAGATCCCATATGTGTATGTAAAGCTTTACCATGCCTGTTATGTAAGAGTGAAATGATGTGGCTTTTGTTTGAAGTTTGACAGTGCTTTAAATTCAGGATGGAGCACCTCATGATCTCATTTGCATTGTCATTTGACTCCAGTCTCATGTCATCCAGCTTTAATTGCACATCTGATAGATGTATTTCATCAGCTCTTTAATTGCCATCTTTTTCATCATGTTTTAATAATTCTGACAGAAGGAAGAGCAAGAGATGCAGAACGGGTCATTATAGAGTTAGTGAGGGATGGAGTATTTCTGTGAATGGCAGATCTTCATTAACTGCAAACTCATGAGCTGTTACTGTAGTTACTGAAGGAGGCAGATCCTTAAAGATCAGGCTTAAAGATCCTGATATTACATTTGTCATCACAGTACCAAAATTGTTCAAATCAAACATGATAATTTATTGATATTAACATAAACTGCATATGCACAGTGTTTTTTTGTTTTTTTTGAGACATTGTTTTTTTTTGTTTGAGTATTTACAACAAAACTGTGTTTATAGCTAGTGAACCTATATTATTATAGTCTAGTTTGGATTTTATCTGGTCTTGCACTGTGTTGTTTGTGGTTTTCAAGGATAAAGCTAGCTTCTGCTAAGTGACAGAACCTGAACCGCAGTACTGAGTTTGATCTGACATCATAAACAAAATATGTGGGCTGCATTTCAAAAAGTATAATCACTATTATTTAAACGTGTGATGTCTAATTTTATTCAGAAGGAATTTGATCAAAAGTGACAGTAGACTTTTAAATAAATGTTGTTGTTTGTTTTGAACTTTCCATTCATCAGAAAATCAGGCTTCTACAATAATATTCTTAATAGTCAAAACTATTTTCTACACTGATAACAGTAGGAAATGTTTTTTGAACACCAAATCAGCATATTATGATTTGGACATGATTATATAACACTGAAGACTAGTAATAGCTGCTGAAAATTCAGCTTTGCCATCACAGGAATAAATTACATTTTATATTAAAATACCCTTTATATTAAAAAAACCTTATTTTAAATTGTATTATATTACAATATTACTATATTTACTGTATTTTTGACTTGAATATTGAGACTTTCAAAAACATAAAAAAAAAAAAACTTACCAAACGCCAAACTTTTGAATGGTTAGTGCAGTTACATGCAGGTGTTTGTTTTTCCCTGCTGTCCACAACCACATTTTTGATTTTCTTTGTCACTGTGCAGAGGTACCTTGAAAACTGTTGTTTTAACTTTAGTGAAAATCATGTAGAAGACTGAAGAATAAAATACATTAGGTTGATTTATTCCTTTGTTGTGTCACTGCTTGTTCTCCATTTAACCATATAAACTTCTGTTTATTTTTCAGGAAGTCGAAGCAGTAGTTCCAACCCCAGTGTTGGGAGGAGCCAGCGGCCTGTGCCTAGGGACAAGGACCGCAAATCAGCAGGCAGTGGTGGCAACGAATCGGATTCAGGCAACCGAGCAGGTGGGAGGCGGGTTGAGCGTTCATCCAGCCAGTTGAGCCACCGTAGCCATGCGCTGTCAACTCGCAGCCACACTCATTCCCGCGTCCCGTCCCAACACAGCCGCACCTCCTTCTCCTACAGCCACGCTCCCTTTTCCAAGTATGGCCACACCTCTTGTGCGCTCAGCGAACGGAGCCACGCCTCGTCTTACGGACCCCCAGGCTTGCCTCCTCCCTACAGTCTTGCCAGATTGACCCCTAAGGGAGTTATCAGCAGCGGGCCCCCAGGGGCCCCTCCAGTGAGGGAAATAGGGGCCATACCACCGGAACTCACCGCCAGTCGCCAGTCTTTCCAGCATGCCATGGGCAACCCTTGTGAGTTTTTTGTGGATATAATGTAATATGATGAACAAATAATAAATAGCAGTACAATAAAAAATCTCACAAGGTGAGTCCCATAAATACATTATCAACTTTTACCAACAGCAAATGTGGCTGTGCTGTAGTCACAAGTTCCTGTGGATGTGTTAAGATAATCATGTGTTGAGCAGAGGGCAAATACCTACAATACACTACTGTTCAAAAGTTTGGCATCGGTAAGAAAGAAGTCTCTTATGCTCACCAAGGCTGCATTCATTTAGTCAAAAATACAGTAAAAACAGTAATATTTTGTGAAATATTATTGCAATTTAAAATAACTGTTTTCTATTTGAATATATTTTAAAATATAATTTATTTCCATCTTCAGTGTCACATGATCCTTCAGAAATCATTTTAATAAGCTGATTTACATTTCTTATTATGAATGTTGAAAACAGTTGTGCTGCTTAATATATTTGTGGAAACTGTGGTACTTTTTTCAGAATTCTTTGATGAATGTAAAATTCAATATATATATATATATATTGGTCACTTTTGATCTATTTAATGCATCCTTGCTGAAAAAAAATAACTGACCCCAAATGTTTAAACGGTAGTGTACATCCAAAAGTATGGCAAAAGGGGATATAAAGTATTTTATTGTTTATTTCCGTGACATAAAAAAACAAGGTTTATATTGCAATTTGGATTCAGCTCGGCTTTTTAGAGCAGTATTAACCATTTTAGCTAGCAATAAAATTGCACACCAGCAGCCACATTTTTAATCCTAGATTAGCAAAAGGTAAAGACAATCAGACAATGCCCTCTGCTGGTCAGGAGCTGTTAGTCCTTTCCAAAGCTATCCATAAACAGACTAGGCTACTGATCATCTTTAAGATCCAGCAACAGTCAAAAAGTATTTTCATTTTGTGTTTGTTCCTGTTAACAGTCTTTATATTGTAGTTTAATTTCGATAGTGCACATGAATACTTGTGCTCTACAAGCTGTCTGGGCAGTTGGTGGAGATGGGTGGAATTAATCATTTTTAGACACGTTTCCAATTATTACCAGGTTGGAAACATGGTAGCATGTCACTGTTGGCTCCCTTGGCTATGAAGCACTAGCTTGAATAATGTATTTTCAGGAAATAAAAAAGCTGCTGGATATCAGGGTAAACTCAAAAACCAGCACTTACAGTGTGTATGCACAAAATAAATTGGCACTTGCTGAACGGCTGAAATTAGTTGTATTTTCTTAAATAACAAGATCTTAAATACTGTCGTTAAGTCCTACAGTTTTTTTTTTTTTTTGCCCCTGGGATAATGTGTCAGTTGTATGATGTGATATCTGGTGCTGGTAACCTGTTCATCAAAGTGTCTCAAAGAGAAAACGGTTGCTCAAAAAACTTGTTTAAAGTAACTAAATGAAGGGGACTGGTTGGCATATGGACTGTGTACTACTGTACGTGTAGTATTTAACTATTTGAAGGCTGACAAATTGGCACTTTTACAACGTCTGATCTGCCCTTTTATTGTGAATCTACATCTTCAGATGTGTTGTCTATTTTTCTCTCTTGGAAATCCTGTACATAGTTCATTTTTATTGTATATATGAAAATAGATAATTGTATAAAGTAAATGTACAGAGCTTCTGGTCATACCTTTTTGTAGTTATGTATGATGTAAATTGGACTTGTGTGTTTTTGAGTTTAAAGCAGTTTTCTAAATCTCATTCTACTTTTTGTGTTGCATTTGTCTGACCATTTGTAAGTGAAACTGTCTGAAATAAATGATTCGTCTAAACGTGTCTCATTTTCATTTGTCAGACAGTGAAGTAGGCTATTACCATTACAATTTCAGATCGTTTTGTAGTCTTTAAGGTTTTTTGTTTTTCTAATCTGTATGTCAGTCACCTCATTACTGATTTTCTTGAGCTCAGCTATCCAACTATACACTGTCATACACACCCTCAACAGGTAAATAATTTATTAAAATGTCTATGAATTTGAACTTTAAAAGTTGCCTGCCAATCACTGTACAGTGCTCGCAGAATAAGTGTGATCAGCTATATTTAGCTAAGGATATGTCTCTTCAATAAGTAACCAAACTAATGAATTTATGTTCCATATTATTACAATCCATATTAAAGCTATCCAATGACCTTTTTATTACTTTTTGGAAGGCCAAAACTGCCATTTGATTACAGCAAAAATGGACTTGAAGGCATCATGGAGGACTGTGATGATATTTCACTGGAACTTGGTCTTTATTATATATTTGTTCTGTTTCTTGTTTGTGTTTAGCATCTTCATCTAGTCACTCATGTTCAATGTCTATTGTCATTTATTAACATATTCAGTTAATAACTTGTTAGAGCACTGTCATTTTTGCAACAATTTCACATCACTAAAAAGTACAATAAAACATTACCAAGTTTAAGTGCTAAAATGTACTTGACATTTTGAAGTAGTCGGTTTTCGTTGGTACGACACTGCAAACTACCGAACTAGAACTACGTAGATTTGCTGCTCAGGAAACATTATAAAATTGTGATGAATATTTTTGAGGATTTTTTTTTAAGAAGTTCAAACCTTTTTAGTAAGGATATAAAGGATTTTTGATTAATAGAAAGTTAAAAAGAACAGCATTTATTTGAAACAATTTTTTTTTGTAATATGAATGACTCCTATAAATTTCTCACTTTTGATTAATATATTCTTACTGAACAAATTTGGTCAGTAAGGATATATTAAAAAGTGAGACATTAAAAAAACAAAACTACACATCTGATTGTATACTGTGTGCTCAATGTATTCTATGTCTACTCTAGTAAAAAGGACAAAACAATTGGTTTGGATGTTTATTGGTATGACATACATTCTGGAGTAAAACAATGACTTCACAACAACAGACGCTACAGAATCTGTGGACTGCAATCATGAAAGACATGCAAGCTCATACTAGACAACAAGCATGAAGTTCTTGAACAAGACCTTTTTAATGGGCAGGTGAATTTAATGACTTCTTTTATCAATCCTGTCCCGTGCGAAAACATTTAATGTTTCAAGCTGGTGTTGTCCTTTATTTTATGAAAAACGTTACCCATAAACTTTATGAATTGGCACCTGACTTACCTAACACAATGCTAATTTTAATGAAACGCAACTTATCAATGAAATTAATTCTGCTGGTCTCAGGACTGGAACAACAGACAATATGATAGACTCTTAAAACATGTTGCACTATGATGTGCTCAAACACAACTGACACAGGACAACACTCAGTGCATGTTCATAGTAACATGTCTTTTGTGATTATATTTTTAGTGATTTAAACACAGCAACTGTGAATATACTATATAATAATGTGAATATACTCTCACAAATATAAAAAACCGAGGTGAAAGCTGGTTTGAGAAAAAGTGATTGACAAAATACATATCTCTAACCCCTGCAATTCATACAAATGCACTTAGACAAGTTCAATTCCCCAATATCGAAAAATACAATTGTGCGTGTTTTTGGGGAGAGTAAGGTCTAAGGAGTATGGGTACGGAAGCCTAATGAAGCTGTGTATTCACAACTACAGCAGGGCTTCATACTCCATGTGTTCAGAACGATTCAGTGCTGGGTCCATTTGATGCTCTTAATGTCAATGCCCTCCTGGACCATTTCCCACAACGGACTAAGAGACAAAGACAAAAACCTTAGAACAATCCTCATTTTTCCCACAGAAAGATTTTGTTCACAGGGATTTTAACCAATTAATTTTCCATGAATTTTGTGTTTACTTGTGTTTTGTGCGGCCTGCCAACATAGAACATAGGTGCGCATTATGCAAATGTGTTACCCCGTGACATGTAGCCATCACAGAAGTGGGATTTGAATTACTGACGACTAGTTTAGGCTATTCAGAGTCGATTCTTTAGTTTGAGAGACAATAACTTTATTTATCGTGCACTTTTGGCTTTACAAACTTTGCAGATCGTTTACATTCACATACAGCTACATTACACACTGCATAAAAGGCAATATTCGGAATGGCATAATAGGGGCACTTCAATTAACAATATCTAAATGAACTATTTTATAATCAAGCAGAGCCAAAAAAAAAAATGACACATTCACTATAGAAATGTACAAAGAAATGTTAAGAATTTATCCGCATTTTCCAGGCTTTAAAATCACAATGTTAAAATCCCCAAGTTTTCCATGATGTGGAAGACCATTTGATTCAAATCAAGCATGAACAGCTCACCTCATCTCCCTCAGCCGTTTGACCTGCTGAATGCACTTCTCCACTGTATAGTCCACTTCCTCCTCTGTGGTAAATCTGCCAATTCCAAATCTGAGAAAAACATTGGTCATGTGCATCAGATCTGCTCATTACAGTTTGTGTGGTCATGGTTCAAGCAGGAAATTTGTGTACGGAGACTTAAGATAAAATCAGAATATAGATTACACAACACAAGAAACAGTAACAAGGCGTGCTGAGCATGACTTGGGGGAAAAAAATTTAATTTAGACTGATATTTTACAAAACTACCAACCGAATAGACGAGTGCGCCAAGTCCTCATCTGCCCCTATTGCTCTGAGGACATATGAGGGCTCCAAAGAAGCAGATGTGCAGGCGCTGCAACAAGAACAATTACTTTAGTATTATTTATATACCATTATAGTTTATATTGATATTTTAAATATCAATATAAAAACTTTTAATATTGCAGTTTTCATTTTAATTTCAATTTCATTTTTAGTAATTTGTATCTCATTTTATAACATATATCTTTTAATGTTACTATTTAAGATTAATTTATTAATGTTGCCTTGGCAAATAACTGAGATAAGTTTGTTTTTCTTTAAGCTTAATACATTTTATTATATATAGCTTTATATATTTTTGTTTTTACTCAATAAACAAAGATGTTTTTAACCGTTTTAGTAAAAAGATAACTTCCACCATTTTTAACCAGCTTTGTATTTTAACAATATCTATGTAAATGAAAAACGTGTACTCTCTCCAAGTTTACCTGCACACAGATATTTATAAACCCCGGTCAGACATTTGAAACTACTGACCTTCCAGATGAAAGCGCAACATCTTTTAACGCCATCAACAGACTCTCCCCCTCAACATAGGCAAATGATAAATTAACGCATCCTGGAGGAGGAAAGTGTTTTTAGATTACAAACTCAAGTCAACATGGAACCTTATAAATAAATGACAATTACAAAGTCAAGTCTTACCTTGGTACCTCTGATCTGGGTCGCCATTCATCACAACATCAGGAATCTCCGACATGATTTTCTGCACAAGGCGATTTGCAAGCACCGTCACACGCTTGTGATCGTACTGAAAATAAACCGAAAATGAAACCTGCATATAAGCGAACTTAGACTAGCAGTAGCAAGTTTAACTCTTAACTCTGAAGTCTCTACCTCTAACTCTTGCTGGGCAATCTCACAAGCGGCTCCGAGGCCTACGGCGAGAGGTGTGGGCACGGTCCCTGAACGTAGACCCCTTTCCTGACCCCCTCCGTTCTGCAAAGGCTCAATACGAACTCTGGGTCTCCTCCTCACGTACAAAGCCCCAACTCCTAACAAACACAACCACTCATTAATATATTTTGGATAATGTGACCGTTGCGCATTTAAATGTACAATATGCTACCTTTGGGCCCGTAGATCTTATGGCCGCTGATGGACATCAGATCCACTTTCCATTCACTGACATTAATGGGGATCTTTCCAACAGCCTGAGCAGCATCAGTGTGGAAGAACACATTTTTGGACCTACACAGATGACCTGAAATCAAAAACATTATTGATATAGATGATATGAAGATTGACAGGTATACGTTTAGAGAATGATGTTGATAGTAAGAGTTACCTATTTCTTTGATTGGTTGTTTGACACCAATCTCATTGTTGATAGTCATTATGGACACCAAACTGGTATCAGGACGGATTGTTTCCTCTAATTGCTAAGAAAGCAAAATATAAGGTATATTTAAAATACAGTACATTTGCAAAAGTACAATAAAAAAAAATTGTTTTTTGTTAAAAAAAACAAAACAAAAGATGAATTTCACATGTTTTTTTTTCTGTGCCAGTATCAGCCACCAACAGGACTGCAATCTATCCGAACATGTAATTATTTTTGCTATTCTGGTTGGTGCTGAAACTGGAAGTTTCCTCTTTCAGAAAGCTTACCTTCAAATCAATCAGTCCATTATTTTTCACAGGTAAGTATGTTACATCAAAACCCTCTGCCTCCATAATTCGGCAGGAGTCCAGCACACACTTGTGTTCGGTCTGGGTGGTAACAATGTGGTTTTTCTTAGCCTTATAAAACCGAGCCACACCCTTTGAAAATGAAAAAAAGACAAGATATAAAAGAACAACCAAAACATATTTAGTTGTTTTTAATGACTAGTGCAGTGCATCCTATATAAACTTCACCTCTTTGTTTATTTTAGAATATGACAAGTCATTTGTGTCCCAGCGTCCCACTTTCTCCTAATCCTAATCTTACCGCCCAGTAATGACATTCTTACTTTGATTGACATATTGTTGGACTCAGTCGCACCACTGGTGAACACAATCTCCCTCGGGTCGGCACCAATAAGATCTGCTACTTGCTGAAGAGGAAATACCATTTGTGTTACCATAAACAGTGCATTCTTGGCATAACCAAAATATTATGCTTCAATACTCAGAAATACAACTCTCAGCTATCTAAATCCAGAGAAAATGTTCTTGCTTCTTTAATGAAAATATTCAGGTTAGAATAAAGACTTACTTTTCTCGCTTTTTCCATTGCACTCTCGCTCTCCCATCCATAAGCGTGAGTCCTGGAATGTGGGTTCCCGTAGTAATTGACTTGATAGGGGAGCATGGCATCCAAAACCCTTGGGTCCTGGAACATTGTTCAATGAAAACAATGGCATGTAAACATCCCAGAAATGTAATTCAGAAATGTTCACGAGTCTGATTAGTTAATTATTCTAGATGGCAGGAATATAATTAGGATGACAATGGCAGATGTGTACCATGGGTGTGGTGGCCTGAAAGTCCATATACAGCGGCCTCAGTTCATCCCTTTCCAGTTCCCTACTTTTGATCAACTCTGTGGAGAAACACAGAAAGTTATAGTGACTGGAATAAATACAGCCATATTAGAAAGCCAAGCATGTATTTACATGTCAGCTTGCTAGTATCTGTATTAGCACAGCCTTCTACAGTAACTTACACAAGCTTAATTCAACTGCGTCACTGTTAGTCTCTAGACTAGAGAATTAGATTTAGTAATGCTGTACCTTTCTGCCTCTGCACAGTGTTGACGGCGCTTTGAGCGAAGCTCAGTCGAGGGTTGGAGACCCCACACATGGAGACCAGAAGTTTTCTCGATAAAGTCCTGTTCATCATGTTTATGCAATTACAGTGTTCTCAACGTAAACAATGACAGAAATAATAAAAAATAGCTTCTTACAAAGCCTTCGTCAACCAATAAACGCGTCAGATAAATAAATGTATTATTCGGGCAACTTCAGAAACAACAACATGCGCACTAAGTTCATATAACAGCGTGTCAAACGGTGTCATCAGCCCTCAAAACACTCCGTAACGCTTACACAAGACGCACACACAGCGGGGGCGGGACGACTGTTATTATAATTCTCATTGGTTATCTGAGTCTCTTGTAGGCGGGTTTTTGTGACGTCTACGGAGTTTATTGGTTGAAACCTAAACCTCGCCCGTTTCTTTTACCGGAAATTGTGAATATGAACCAATACAATGCTGCTCAAAAGTGAGTTTCTTCGTCCTTGGAAATATAAATATCCAGTACATTTGGAGAAAATCGGCAGCGTTTAATGTAAGACATCTTTAGTTTTAAGTCTTTGGTTTATATATATTCCCACAAATCGTGATGGGAAATCCAAATCATTTCCGCCAATCGGTTCTTTTGAAGAGTTCAAAGAATCTATTCGGTTGCTTGTGTCATTACGTCATTACGTCATCAACGCGCTAATAAAATCAAATGAAGCTACATAGTAACGAAAAATCATACTTATAACAAAATGTCGAAATTATGACATTAAAAACAATCATTGCATAAAGATGACGTTTTGTCATAATCTCGACTTTTTATGTTATAATTATGACATTTGTGTTTTTTAGGGTTCGGCTTCCATAAGTTTTACTTTTCTACTATTGAAATTCATTTTCGCTGTGCAAGGTAGGCAGTTAAGAATATAAATAGAATGGACTTTGTACTTTCTCATTCCTGGAGCTTAGCTTTAAAACAACGTGAGAACATTTAGAAGCAGATCTATAACTCTATATAATGAGAACTGTATATATGATTCAGTTGTTTATGTATAGCCTACTTCCTTAGCACAGAACATCTTGATTGCTTACATTGGTTTGATTGTTTTGATTTACTCATGTCACATAAAACATTTACAGGTTCAGAATCCATCCATAGCTTCTCCTGGCATAAATGTCTCCAACTTCAGTGCACCACTTTAGACATCAGTGGTCATTACAGAGATGCAAAGCAGCAATACATGGATATTTGACTCTGAATAAAACCAATGCATTGCACACAATCTGCACAGATCCACCAATGATTCTAAACCCCAGAAGAAAATACAATTCCAAAGCAAAACAGATGTCACTCACAGTGCTTGATTGAAGTGGGCCGTTTTTGTGCCAAATTCTGACCCCCGCCAGATTATTACCCCTAGTATTGGTAGGTTTAGGGTTAGGTGTGTGGGAGGGGTTAGGATTAGGCAATCAGATAGCAATTTCAACCAGGGGGTAAAAATTTGGCAGGGGGTCGAAAATGGACACAACACCTGTCCGGAACTTCTTTTTTTCCACTTCAAGCAAATAAACCATGTTTTGAAGGCTAATGAATATAGTTTAAAACCAAATGGTTATGGACTGTATAATGAGTCAATAAAAGGGTTTGATAGTAATATCATACCATCAAACTCCCCAAGTGAAGACCGATGGAGTGCTGCAATGTGTTTTCAGAGCCGTGGCATGCTGTTCAGTGTTTGATGGCCATGCAGGGTCTGTTAGTGAACGCCTCTTTTACTACATATCTGTGTCTCTACTTCCATTGAAGACTTTAACAGAGATAGAGGAGGCTGTGGAGAGTGAACAGCCTGTGCTTCCAGTGCTACAATGGCACAAGCATCCCAATGACTTTGTTAGCACAGATGCTGGTAAACTATACTTCAATAGCCTGAGGACATACTGGCAGGAGGATAGATCTGCACAAGGATGACGACAATGATATACAAACAGCATTAAGAAACTTTCAAGAGATGGATAATGATATTTCCTTGGAGGCCCAGGTGGACTTTGGGGTTCCTTTTGCTCATTTCACACCTCTGGATGCATGGCTTGTGTGGGTCACGTGGACCGAGAAGATCTTCATGTGGCCAATAATATGGGTGATAGCAGAGCAGTTCTCGCGGTCCAAGGGGATGATGGGAGGTGGTCAGCTCTCACTATTACCAATGACCACAATGCCCACAACCCAGACAAGATACAACGGGTACTTTTGGAGCATTCTGCTTCTGAGCGGAATGCAGTGGTGGGCCTGTTGATTCCTTTCAGGGCTTTTGGAGACATGAAGTTTAAACGGAGCATTGTGCTCTTGAATTGCATCTACGAGGCATGTCCAGAGCTGCTGATCGGAAACGAAAATGCAAAATTGCTGCTCCCCGGGTGCCGCAGCAAAAAATGGCTGCCCACTGCTACTGCTGTGTGTGTGCACTTTGGATGGGATAAATGCAGAGCATGAAATGTGCAGGTCTTAAGGGAATATCTGTCTGACATCCAGTGGAAGAAACCAGTTTCTGGACTGGGTTTTACAGTTGGACAGATGCATAGACTGCTGCAAAGAGGAAGGGTAGAGCTCTTTCTGCTCTGGAGGATGAGAACAGTGATACTCATCTGATCAGTCACACTCTGGGCAGCGATGGCTACTCTATTGAACCCAAGCGCATAGTCAAAATGCTCAGTCTGCCACAGGATTTGGCAAGGATGTACAGAGATGACAATTATAGTCATTCACTTCAATATTTAATCTACTTGAAGCAGAAATGAAATTTTTTTTTTTAGTATAATAATTTAAGACATTTTGTGCACATTACACATCAAATAACGATTATTAGAATAATCTGAAGTTTAATTTATACTCATTGATATGGTGGCTTCTCCCATTTATTGTAAAGTTAATTTAAAGGGGTCATGAAATTCAAGAGTCAAAATGTTTTTGATATTTACACACAAGAGGTTACTCAACAAAAAATAACTAAAACGGCAAGTTTCAAAACTAACTCCCCAGTTTAAGGAGTATTTTCTCTTTCTGAAATGGCCAGATTTGTGAAGTCATGAGTCTCCTCAACACACCCCTTAACATGTGCCATTGTCGTATGTAATCAAAGAACAAGATTGCCAAGTAATCAAAATCTGGCAATTCTTTTAAAATGACCTTGAAACACAATCCTAAAATGCATTTCATGACCATCATGTTCAGTGCAAGTTTCTGAATGGGGGAAAAAAAATACTAAAGATAAGAGCACCTCGGGAAACAATATAAAAAATGTTAAAAATGCAAAAAAAAATCACTTTAAGCATGTCAAAAACTGACATTGTGTCATTACTTCAACCAATGAATATTGCAACAAACCTCAACAAGAAAAAAGGACATCTCTCTTTTGATGTTTTTTTTTTTTTTTTAAACAGGAATTCACACTGTTCAAATTAAATGAGGATCAATTTTTTTCAGTTATCTTGGCTTTATTTGAAATTAACTTTCATCAAGGACTTTACAAAAATCAAATCGATTAGAAAAACAAGATGGTTCTAAACTTTATGGTCTCTAAATGAACAAAAGATATTTGTCAGCCATTTAGTTGCCATAGCTCATAGAGCCAAAAAGTTGAATATGTTCATGTCTGATCAAAATTGCAGTTTAAATCCAAGACTTATTTATATTGTGTATCTGTCAAAATTGCACACTCCTCAAGTGAGAAACATGCCAATCAGATCCATCACGAAGACAATATATGTGGAAGGGGGAAAAAAAATAAGTATGAACAATAAAAGGTCAAGAAGCAAAATTCAATAAGTAGGCTGTACATGGAAAACTTTTTTTTACACCACAGAACTTCTCTCAACGTCAAGACCTGTAAGGACACTATGCAAGAAAATTTTAAACTTATTGGTTTTGTAACCAACTTAAAAGGAAACAAAACAACTGTGCCACAGCTTGCAGAACTGTTATTGTTGTCCAAGAGTTAAAAGGAACAAGGCTGAAAAAGTTGAGTCTTCCAGAGGTGATCGATCACCGGCGACTGGGCATAAGAAGCTGTGTTGCCTGCACTGACTCTGGGAAAAGGTTGTGGTATGTAGGAAGAGGTACATAAGCTGCTGTGATCATTTTACCTGGAATAAAATATTGAAATATAAGATATAACAATTCAGACAATAATACATATGGGTTTTAGACAGATTACATAGTACTAGGGCTGGGTATCGAGTTTGATATTTTTTAGGCACCGACCGAATTTCCTCTATCATCGAGTATCGAAAAATGTCTTGTCGTTCAGTACCAAATTTCGAAACCTTAAGAGTTAATCGAGGAAAAACACTAGGTGTGTACTAGGGCTGTGTAATTAATCGCATGATTAATCGTGATTGTCATGCACATCTCGTCAGTAAAGCCAGTTCCGTGATTAGTAGTAAATCTCCATCACCTGCTTTCAGATGGAGCGGCATTTACTACACAGAGCCGTAGTTCACTGACAACCTGCTTTACTGACGAGATGCGCATGACAATCGCATGCGATTAATTGCACAGCCCTAGTGTGTACGACTTGATGCGGTGCAGATTGATCAGTGTTTGACATCAAAGTACCGCGATACCGATTCGAAAGCTTCTGTTCTCTATAGCTCTCATGGTACATTGATATCATACACCGATCAGTCTGCGCAATGCCTCGTCAAGTCGAACACTCTTACTAGTTTACACCCCGAGAGAAGTGGCTCACATGTGAGGCTGTAGTGTGTGAGCATCCCAACCCCCATAGATGTAAGGCTAAGTTTACACTAGGTCGTTTTTGTTTTAAAACAGCATTTTAAAATGAAAACAATCCTTTCGCCATACTGGCGAAAAGATCTCCGTCCCCACGACCGAAAACCACCTTGAGTGTTTGTAATAACTTCCGATTGCAATCTAATGTTTGTTTTGGTCATATAATGTTGCTAAAATATGTTTTGTAGCCTTTTATATCAAGCTAATCACTACACCTGCTTAGCATTTCTTATGTAAACACCCTGTATTATGAAATTAGGCAGAACCTCATGAAAATCACACTGTCATAATCGTGTTTTATTAGGTTCATGTTTCATCTGTAGAAATGTTTTTCTGGGTTTCTTATATAAAGAACGTAATGGACATTCCCATAGGAGAAGGTGAGTTATGAATAGTGGTGCAACGGATCACAATGAAATTAGGCAGAAACTCATGAAAATCACACTGTCATAATCGTGTTTTATTAGGTTCAGGTTTCATCTGTAGAAATGTTTTTCTGGGTTTCTTATATAAAGAACT